TTGGGGGGGGGGGAGAAATTTTTAGGGGCCACGTTGGCGCAGGGCCTTCATATTTTAGGCGCCATGCCCGATTTCTTAGGCGCATTTGGCGCGTTGGCGCCTGCGAGTTTCGAACACGGCCGAAGAAGATGAGCACCGCGTATGAGAAATTGCTTACTAAGATGTCAACCATCAACTGGGTCGCGTTAAGCAGAAAGGAACCATTAGCCACATTCAAGCCCCATCAGCTATTACCAGATACAGGGTTATTCAAAAGTCACGCACCACTGGCCATAACTGTAGTTCTAATTAAGATATCGATTTGCGGTTTGTGATGTTTTTCCTTATATTTAGAAGGAAAATTTTTTAAGGTACTCTTCAGTTTTTGACCCCTTCAGTGGGCGGGGGTGGGGTGGGGTGAAACTCGAAAATTTCTAATGACCACCCCCTCATGGCCGGTGGTGCGTGACTTTTGAATAACCCTGTATAAGGGGGCCTTTTAATTTTTTGCTAGAGAACGTTTTGGCGGATTCTCTCGAAAATGTCAAGGAATCTGCTTTTAACTCTGCAGGAAATTCACTGAAATTTGCACAAAAATCCGCACGACCGTTTTTATGTAAAAACTTAAATTGCCTAGTTCAATTTGACAATAGCTGCTAGCCGGTTTATAACATTACAATGCGTATGTATATAGAACTCTGCTACCACGGAGACATATCAGGTTGTGCTTAAGTTTGAGGAAACTACACTACCGCTAAAAAAATAAATTACAGGAAAACGATTATCGTCCTCCTCTATTTTGTAGAATGCTATGGTATAAACAGTGTAACTGTTGTACGTGCTGCATTGAAATGTTAGTAATTTCATCTCGGCTACTACCCGACGACCAGTTTCCATGTATTTTGGGGGAAATTTCCCCCTAACCCCTCCCCCTCCCTATGGCGCTGAAACCTTCAGAGGAGACATTGCAGTAAGAGCGCTTCATTTCACGGGTAAAATTCTCCACAGGCGTTGATCTGTTGAAGAATGTATTTACAGCGCGGGGGACGACAGAAGATAAATTTATCTCCTTGTAGTGCATGATAATAACCTCAATTTGATCACGTAGCTACCTGCGCGGCGCGCCGTTCGCAAATATTATCTTCAATGTATGAAACTAATTGAATTTGCGGGTCGATAATTCTTTTAGTTTCATTTTCCATAATTTCTGTGTCGTCATCTCACTTCCGAGTCCATTTTTCTCTCAGATAGTGGAGAAAACGAAAGGTCATACTGTCATAGATTTGGTTGTAATCAGTTTTCACACTTGCAATGCACGTTTCGAGGTAGAGAATCGAGTCCTAAGAAATTCTCGACAGATACCTGTTTGGAAGGGAATAATTCAGTGAGTGGGTGTTCTTCAGGGATGGCGAAAGCTCTCAGTCTCCCCCAATTTATAATTTACTTTCCCCCAAAATTTGATGTTTTGCTTCTTGCGCCTTTGCAAAAGACAACGAGCTTGAGAGTTTCCGTCCCCTAAAGTAGCGCGGTTGAAAGACTTCCAGCATTTAAAACAGCGCCCTTAAAAGTTTCCTCCCCCAAGAACAGCAAAAAGAAAAAAGAAAAAAAGAAGAGATCCTTCCGGAATTTTCGCAGCCTTCCTCAAATCTCACGCGAGCGGCTGCGCGATCATTTTCGCGCGATGGAGAACATTCTGCATCCCTAGAGTCCTATTCGTCCCCTAAAGTCCAATCTGCGAAATCACAGACCCTTCAACTAATGAAACTTTACAAGATTGTAATCATAAGATTCTGTCTGTTGTCGTAATGGAGAATTTGCACGCAAATTTTTTGTTCCTTCATCTGAAAGTGCCCAAAGAGCTGATTCTGCAGTATTTTTTAAAATTTTTTCGGTCATGGGAAATAGTAAAAAGGTAGATTTAAAATTGAGAAAATGCGCCGCCTAGTGACGTCATGTGGCGTCATTTCCCATTTAAACACACGTATTTTATCAGATTAGATAATTTTGTCATTTCTCCTCTAATAATTGTTCAATTTATGAATCCTCGTGTTCAGCTCACTTGGTACCATCCATTCAAACATGGAATTTACCAAATTTTAGACACCTGCAAATGCTCCAAAGCTGAACATCACTTTTTGGCCCTGCGAGCTGTGTTTGTCGACTGGACAACAAGACGAGATTAATGTAAAATGGAGTCACCAGATTGGTCGTTTATGTCGTGCGTCTTCTCTATCGTGCCCTCGTCCAGTATAATCAGGAGAAGCTGAGGGAACATCCTGAGTCACCGATGATAGCGTGTCAACGATTCCACCCGACGCGACGTAAGCACGATAAATAAGGTTGGCAATTGACGAAGCCAACCAATCACTCACATCTATTTCAAATTAGTCCTCTCATGTCCAGTCCACAAGCACAATCACTAGGTTTCAACCATCGGCCCCAGCTTCCGATCAAGTGACATCTTTAATTATCATCGATGCTTTGCAGCAGAAATTTGCATTTATTCATTCAAATAGTGCCCAGCGAGTAATGAGTTGAGCTTGTAGCCTATATTAGTTTTTTCTTAAAATTTTCTTCTGGTGAGGAAATGTTGACACCAGCATAACTCCATCGTCACAGTTAATTAAAGTTGTGGTGCGAATTCGTAATTTTTTGTTTTTGTTTTTCCTCTGCATCGTTTCGACAGGAGGATGAAAAGCATCCGATCGTATGAATTTCGCATAACCTGACCACTTCTATCGTTTGAATAGTATATTTCGAAACACCATGTCTAACATTTGGAGTGTCTATCACATAACACGCGGTATCTCCACAGTAATGAATATATGTATGAAGTCACTTGTCCACTGCTCATGATCTAAATTTTTTAATTTCGCTTCATGCGATATACTGTGCCCTGAGGGATATCAGAACAAAGAATGCATCGAGTTTTTCAGAGATATTAATTTTCGGGGGTCTTGAGTGTGGACGTGAAACACTTCTTCTTATTTATAAACATTTTGGAGTTGTCTTCAAACTAAAATTATGAAGGATTAAATCTTAGGTCGATAACGAAGAATGACACGGAAAATAAGACGGTGCTCTGTACCGACATTATTGCTGATTTTGTATCTGCTAAACTAGTTGATGTGCAACTTCAACAAGGGATATTAGCTGGGCCAGCAATAAAAGTTTTTCATTTTCCGTTTAGAACTTCCATCCACTATCATTCCAGCGTTTTTCTTTCACTCGCTAATTTTCATTTTTAGCCTTAGGTTGGCCCAAACCAGTTCGCTTTCCGTGCCTATTGCAGCACCCTAGCCAAGTTTAAATCTCATCCCCCTGAAAGATAGTGAAAATGGCGTTAGCGTTTACATTATTGAATGAGAGCAGACAATCTTATCTTTCGTGAAAGTTGATAGCAGTGACCTTTGCCTCCTTTTCTGCCAAATCAAAAATCTTCGCTCATTCCACACGCATAACAAAATCTCTCTATACATGTTATTATAACTGTTATCGCAGCCTCATTGTGTATGCTAGTATGCTGTCGGTGAATACCTATGAAGATCATTGTTTACTTCGATTCCTTTGCAAGGAAGAATGGGAATTTTCCACGGTTTTTATATTTATTTTTCTGTTGAGGTTGAGGAATGGATCGGATAGTGGTGGCGGTGGCAAACTGTCCCATGGAGAGCTAATTTTATTCAGTTTTTCATGCGACATAAATTTAAAGTGAGAGGATTCTTTCCATCCAGCTATATTCAGGGCGAAGCATGGAAGACTGAAGGAATCGAATACGCACCAACGCACTTTTAATTAAGTAAACGTAACGCATAACCAGAAACTGAAACACGGTCATTCCCATATCGTCCTTTTCCCCTGGGCCTCAATATATTGACGGTGAAATTGCCAGACCACACTTATCAGTTTACGGCGTCGCAGACTTCCTGCCATACTTAATTTTTCAAATGGAAAACCACTCAACGTCAATTCTTGAAAATTTCTCTAATTGGACGTATTTATATCAAACGGAACTAAGCGCCAATTTGAGTTCCTTCTGAGGAATTTAGGATCCCGGATAACGCGTTCTGTCAAACGGACCTAAGCGCCATAGAAAAGCATTGCGAGTAAAGGATGGAATAAGCCGGACGCTCGATTCCGCCGCCAATCCAAGCCCCCCTCTACCTTCCTCACCCTATGGCGCTTAGGTCCGTTTGATAGAAATACGTCCAATTTTTTTTTCTCTGTGCGCAGAAAACTCTGAAAATGTTTTAAGGAATGATATTGATTTGTTCTCCTTTTAAAAAAATGAAATGCTAACGGAGATTTTTAAAAACCAGAAACGAGGTACGTGGTCTGGTATTTTCACCGTCGATATAATACACCAACATTTAAGTCTTCATTGGCAAGTGATCTGTATTTCATTTCGACGGTGAAACTACCAAACCACGTATCACGGTTTGCGACGTCGCAGACTTCCTGTCATACTTTATTTTTTAAATAAAAAACTACTTAACGTCTAGTCTTGAAAATTTCTGTGATTTTTCCTCTTCGTGGAGAGAAAATTCTGTGAAAATTTCAAGGAATAATATTGATTTGGTCTACTTCAAAAAAATAAAATGCGAGCGTAGATTATTAAACACCGCAAACGAGATACATGGTTTGGTAGTTTCACCGTCGATTTGCACTTTTATGCCCCAGCAGTGGACTCATCATCAGTCCATTCAGCCGGTATCTTCGTATCCATCCGAAAGTTCGATTTCGTTTCAGGTTTTTTTAAAGCCCGTCTTCGAAAATAGTTAAGATCTCCCAGTGCCTTTGAAAGCGTAAGAATCCTCGTTTCGAATAATTTGTGCCTGACCCTCGGTGGTCCTATCGGAGTAGTGAAATCCATTTTGAGAAACTCCTCTGACAATATTGTCATCGATGAAAGACGTCCATCATGTATAATCAGTTCGGAGGGTTTACACCTTCTGCGGATTCAACTTCATTCGTCGGTTACAAGCGGTACTCGTCGCCCTCTCAGACCTCCGACTTTGATACTGAGTAAGTTTCCATTTTCAGATTTCCTTTCTTCGAACGAAAAAAATTATTTCCTAAACTCGTCGGCAATCTCATTGGGGTTGTCAGTTTTTAACCAGCTCATAATGGATTGAATTTCAAACTTTGAAACGCCCGTTTTCTTCAAAAACTTGAGCAAAACCTGGATCTTTTCCAATGAAGCGCGCGTCGTTTTTTAGAAGTGAGTTTAACTCTCCTGAGTTTTTGTGCTGAGTTAATTTACCAACTTACTGCACTAAAATACTTAGGATCAAGTTATTTCTTTCCTCTTCTCGTATTTTTTGTTCTTTGCCGCCATTGCGTTTCTCTGAATGACAGTGTGGCCCCACACAGTAACAAGAAGTATAGATTGGACGTATTTCTATCAAACGAAACTATGTGCATTATGACGTGAGCCCTGTTATGCACATACTCTTATGGGTCTCAGAGCTCATGTCTTGATGCACATAGCTCCGTTTGGCAGAAATACGTTCGATTGAAGAAACGAAGCACAGCAATTGTTGAAGCGCACACAATTCAATTATTTCGAGCAAATATGATCCATCCAGGAAGAGAATGAGAGTAAATTGGTGGCCATAGATTCAAACGGTTCGATTATTAACGATAATGAGATGGAGCGGAGGGAGGGAACAGTTTGCGTTAATCCTGAGTTCAAGTTCGTTTACATATTTGGCTCAAACTCATCGCACGTAGTCATTATTTGCCTCCGAACTCTTTTGCGTTTTAGTTGTGTTATTTGACCCGTTTTTTGGAAGGGTCCCTAATTTGTAACCGTGTGCTTCAATATAATTATTTTGTTTACAGCATGGCCGCGTTTTTTGACACGTTGTTTCCCTTTTCGAGAGAGAAATTGGCACGTAGCAATGAGTGTTCTGAGCGCTGAGAAACTTTCACCTCTTGTGGAATTTATTCTGTAATATTTGACGAATCAAAAAATCATTTTTACGTCAGGGTGTCCACAAGCCGTACAGTCGGAAGAATTTTGCGTTATGTTGGTATTTTTTTTACCGGCAATTTGATTTCGCCGAGAAAAAGCTGTGTTTTACCAAAAAGTCGGGCTTTCTCTGAAGAAATTAGAGCATGATTAAGACCAACCAAGATCATTTTCGATTTGAGCAGTCAAAAATACACGCAGTCTTACAATGGCATGGTACCTGAGCATATTCCATGTTCGTGTCTACTAAAAAATATTGTCTGCCGCTGGCTTTACGTGTAAAAGGACCGAAAAAAAGCAAAATCTTACGCAACAGATCTGGCTATTTCCACCTTCTTTTTGCTGCTGAAGCCGAAAATGTTGTTAATTAGTATTTCTAGCTCTTACCAGTTTTGCGAAAAATTGAATAACAAGGAAAAAAGAAATTAAAACAAAATAAAAAAAAATTCATTTATTTTAGCTTTGAAATCCTCCTTTTTTTATTTTGAAAATTCTAATAAGTGGTACGTTTTGCAAAGAAAATATAGATGGTTTATTTTTAGCAGCAATGCCCAGGGGAGGATAACCGGATTATCCGCGAGGGAAATCCCATTCCTCTACAAGAGAATGGGATATGTCAGTTGTACATGTTATTTTGACGGACAGAGTCATTTGACCGTAAGATACCTTGGTGTCAGAAGCAGCCAGGTGGCATAGAGAAAAAATAAGGTTGTCGCATTTTTAGGACTCGTTTACCCCGTGAAGTAGGTATGTACAATATGGCGTCGATACTCCAGGAAAATCCGAAAATCGAAGTATTAAAAACAGATTATAACGTCCATATTTTTGGCTTGAAGCGTAGCTTTAGCTTATAGTTCAGTTTAAAGCATAATGTCAAACACTTTATGTAGAATGACTTTCTTCCATGAAGTACACCATTTTCTAGAAAATTGATGATAAAAAGTGTCTGTACCTACCCTACCTACGTCATCGACGAAATCCAAGATGCCCGAAATGCGACTACCGCCCTTTTTTTCGCTCTATGGTCGCTTAATACCTTGGCGGGTCTGATCATACGTAAACATTTGGCTGATAAATCCAAAAATGGGAAATTCTCTACGATCAGGGCCGGATTAAGGGGGTGGCCACATGGGCCGCGGCAAATCTAAGGGGCGGCAAAACTTTTCAATTTTTTGAAGTGTAGGTATAAAAAAAAATCGGATTTATAAAAACAAAATTACAAACGAGAAAAGGCGACAAAATCTCTTATTTCCTGAGAGTATAGTAATTTTCAATTTTGTCGTCTCTTAGTGATACAAGAGACAGCACCTTCAACAAGTCGAGCTAAGAGAGAGACCAAACACGCAATTTGGCCTGGAACGGCGCGACTTACCTAGAGAAAAATGATGACGAGGACTTGAGATGAAAAGGAGAAGCCCTCGGCGCGGCGCGGCGATCGGTATGTAACACATATTAGCGCCTACAAGACTGCACGAATACTTCACGTATTGCAACAAACACAGTGCGGTCATTGTGGTCAGCGTGAAACGTATAGCGCCTACAAGAATGCATGAATACTTCACGCATTGCGCCAAACACAGTGCGGTCAGCGTGAAACGCATAGCGCCTACAAGACAGCGTGAATACTTCATGCATTGCGTCCAACACGGTGCGGTCTGCGCGGCGCGGCGGCGGTAGTTAAAATCATTGAACCACATTAATGTTTGTTCTTTCATAATTTTTTCGTTCATTTCTTATGAATGGAAGGCCTTGTCCACACAGAGACAGGTTTACGGAACTTAACTTTCGCGCAAAGCCTCGTGAACTTTTGCTAGTAGTGTTGACAGGGCTTTCCCAAAAAATGTGTTCAACACGAATAAATGCGTCTTATGCACCCCTCCCCCGCTGGCACGTTCATTTGATGGTTTTTATCGAGTTTCAAACCGAATGTGAAGGGGGCGGCAAAATATAGGCGGCCCATGGGCGGCAAGTAGGTGAATCCGGCCCTGTCTACGATAGTTAATTTTTGTTTAATGTCTCCGTCAGCCATCTATATTTCAAAAAGGAGCTCCTATTGCCCCTGTTTGTCCAATAATATCGAATGAATGTCTTCTTAGGGAATCGCAACAGTAAAATCGGTTAAAGGAACTTGGTCAACCCAATTTTACTGCTGAATAGAGCGCTGAAAAATTAGCCGAATGCTTTTGGCCACACGCGCCTTCATTTCTGCATAATACTTGGGTTACATTTTGCAAAAAGGAACCAGCAGCATAGCCATGTTGCTAAGATTGTGCAATTCCAGCCTTCGCAATAAAACTACTGTAATCTTGCAAATGTATGAAATCTACGTGGTAATTTTTGTCTTGAATTTACAGTTTTAAGCGTTTAAAATAGACATTTTTTAAAAACGATCAGGTTTTTCTTCCAGGACAAAATAAGTTGCACAATTTCAGCAACATTGCGATGCTCTTGGTTCCTTTTTGCAAAATGCAATCCACTTAATGCACGGCAGTTTGGCGTGGGATTGAGGAGTCTTCAATCATGTTTGATACACAGTGCATTGTCGCAACGTTGGTTTATTTGCTCAACATCAGGTTCTAACCTAACGAGTGATTTCATCTCGTAAGTTCTTTCGATCCGCATTTGATAGTGATCGCAAACATACATTAAAGTGGCTTGAGCATCGATTATTTTTGTCAAATGAATTTCGTGTAAATTTTGAAATTATTGATCCGCGAAGTATAATTGTTATTTGCTTATTTTTACACTAAAAAATTCATGAAAATTTTTTAAGCCGTATTATAGCGAATGCAGCAATAATCGTGTATCAATAGATCAGTGAACGGTTTTAAAATGACCCCTTTGTAATGTAGCACCTACCCAGTGAAAAGAGAGCAAGACAATTTTTTTTCATATCAATGATGTGCAGTTGACAATATTTTAGTAAATAATTGTTTAAAATAATAATAATATCTTTTCTCGGAATAAGTTTTCGGCATTGACCAACATTTTAAATCGCCGCTACATAGTTGTATTAATTTTTTTTTTTTTTTTTTTTTTTTTTTTTTTTTTTTTTTTTACTGTTCCACTAATCTAAAATTTTGATTTGCCGTCGTGATGTCATTTCCATCCCATCATCGGAAATTCTATTCGATTCATCTGAAACGGCTGCGCCTCGTTCCATATTCGAGGCACCAGGTTTCATTCCGCCAGCTTAATTCCGTACTCGGTGTAAAATGGAAGCGGCCAATTTTCAGCCTTGTGAGGCAAGAAGCTGTAATTGTTTGTCGGTGAATTAAGTCATAATTACGGTAGCCCGGACTTGTCTTTTTCGCAGATGATTTTTCGTTCCATGATATGCACGCCTGCTTCAAATTGCCTCTCCACAGTGCTAAGCACCGGTGACATATCCATACAAATATAAGCTAGCCAAGCCAAGTTGTGGTGGTTCATGTCTAAAATTTTCCTTCACGCGTTCATAGCTTGTGCAAACCATTTGCTTTTTTTGGAGAATTTTTTGGCTTAACCATTTACTTTCGTATCATGTAACCAATGTTTTTAGTTGTGAGCTCACCCAAGTCTTTTCATAAACTCGTCGTATCAAGTTAATTGGTAGCTCTGTTAATGACTGGTTCCTTAAGAATCTAAGTCAATTTTATGACCTCAGAGAAGTTATGGAGCCCCTCTTTAAGGGATTATTTTATGCCCAGGACGGGTCAAATTTGGATTATTAGGGGTCAAATTGAAGTGAAATGTTCCGGACTTGTCAATTATAATGCAATTGATTCGCAATTTGGTCGGAAACCCTGATTTTTTTTAGGATCGTGAGCCCCCCCCCTTTTACTTCTCTAGGGGGTTTCGGAGGGGGAGGGGGGCTTGGGACAATGAAATTAAGATTCCTCGGGGTCGATTCCCTCTCAACCCCGCGGTCCCTGACTTTGTACGACCCATAACAACCGAGAAAAAAGTCTGGTACGGGTGGTCTGGAACACCCCGTAGTATAGATAATAGTGTAGATATTGAGTGTGGGAACAGTCGTTGTGTGCGTTGTTGCCAAACATAAAATATAGCTCCTCCCACCTCACCCTCCGTCTTACACCGTAGATCCAGTATCCAGTGATGGACTTTTCCACACTGTTAAGTATTCCATCATTTTGGTTTTTTTTTTTTCTAATCATTACTTATAACTCAACTTAACTCATTTTCTATTTTTCCTCAAATTATCTAAATTTTCCGTTCTTGTTTTGTTTTACTATTTAAGTACCAAAAAAATTGTTCCCCTATTTTGTAACGAACCCTGTTACTTAACTACATGCAGTGGTGTCAATGGTCATAGATGCTCAGGCGTCGCTTTAAAATAAACTTGCACTACTACTAAAACTACCCTCTTCGCTTTCTTTCCTCTTTCCCTCCCCCCCAGACCCCCAGGAGGGGCCGCCCCCCGCCCCCTCCCTTTGTTTGCAAAACAAAATTCTCAACACGTTGTTACTATCCACCCATGCACTGCCGTGATAGCGAAGAGAGCAGCAAGTGTCACATTTTCGAAATTGACTCTCCTTCCGAATTCGTCTAAACTCTTCTAGATGAAATCTCTGAAATTGCTAAAACAGCGAACTTCATTTTAATTGTATAAAAACGAGACCTATGAAAGCCGTAAGTGCGCAAAAATTGAAGTAGCTGCAGGCAAGTAAGCAGTAAGTGACATGATTCCCTCGTAAAGCCAATGAAAACAGGGTTTTCAAGTAAATGAGATACGACTGATGCTCTCCATTGCTTGTTCAGGTAAAGTGCCACCCTCTTTTGTGAATTTGTAACCTGAAAATGCGTTTGTCTTGCGTCCCAAAACGCAACCACAGAAGCATGCAGAAGATAGCACTTCCGGCTGTCTTGCCTAACGATAACCTAGCATGAAAATGAAAAATACCCTTTATATGTAATTTAAATAAAATCAGGCGATTTTCAATCATCTAAACGATTTCTAGGAGTCTTTCGGACGATTAGTGGTAATTTGAGAAAGGACGGAGGCTTCTTTGAATAAAATTTCCCGGTCAGAAGCTTCTGAACCCGTTTTCTCAAAACTTCATTCTTGCACTTACTGCTTTCTTGGCTATCGCGGCAGAGTAGGTAGGTCAACCGTTGAATGTTGGAATCCCAAAAGTAAAAGCTTCCACCATTGCCAAGACACCAGTGGGCCGATTATTGAAATTGATCGCAAAGCGATAGACAAAGAAGACATTAGGGAGTATGTAGCTCTCCCATTGGTTGAAATAGGTGGTTCCTATAGACTAAGGGAGAAAATGATGGACTAACTATCGGGTCCCTCGTGGGTTGCCGTTACTCACCTAGTCTATTACCTAACTTCTTTGTCCATTGCAACCATCCGCTTCCGTCAATAAGATCCCTCCATATATCTTTTGTCTTCTTCGTCTATAGGTTCGTCTATCAATTTCAATAATCGGCCCGTTGGGAAGGGTCTCTTGTCTCTGAGCCAGTGGGTGAATCAGAGACAAGAGACCCTCCACTAGTAACTTGGCTATGGTGGAAGCTTTTACTTTCGGGACTTCAGCATTCTACTGTTGACTTACCTACATGGTTGATGTTCAACAAAGTGTTGGCAGTTTCGTTTTGCAAACAAGCCGAAAATGGCCGACGTTTGGGAAACTTGTTTGGCTTATGACGTCATCCGAAGCTCATCATCGACCATGTAGGTAAGTCAACAGCCGAAACTATGGTGATGACTGTTGCTCGCTCATAATTGTCCATGAGGAATTGTTGAAACCCCGAAAGTAAAAGCTTCCACCTGTCGCTAGGAGGCCAGTGGAGGGTCTCTTGTCTCTGGGGTGAATCGAGGAAGCATGATTGGATAGTCGGACGTTGGATATGTCTCGCTGAAAGCTGTGAGGTGGATGAGGAGCAAGAACTCATGTGTCTGTTTGTGTTTCAGGAGCTCGGAGCGGAGGAAAGAGAAATCGCGGGACGCGGCGCGATGCCGGCGGAGCCGCGAGACGGAGATATTCACGGAGCTGGCGTCGCTGTTGCCCCTGCCGCGCTCGGCCCTGGACCAGCTGGACAAGGCCTCCGTCATGAGACTGGTCATCTCCTTCCTCCGAGTCCGCAACGTTCTCCAGTCGGGTAAGTCCCCAAACCAGCCCATTCCAACGTAATTTTCAACACTTGTTCTACGTCTGAGTAGAACCATTCGCCAAGAAACGAAAATTGCAAAATCCGGAGAAACAAAAACAGGATTAGGCGAAGGAAGAAAGTATCGCAATCGACACAGCGGGCCGATTATTGAAATTGATCGACAAAGCTAAAGACGAAGGAGACAAAAGAGATATGGATATAGCCTATCGGTGGAAGCGGGCGGTTGCTATGGATAAAGGAGGCAGATAACAGACTAACTAACGGCAACCCACGAGAAACCCGACATTAGTCTATCATTTTCTCCCTTTGTCGATAGGAACCACCCATTTCAACCAATAGGATCACTCTATACTCCTTTGTCTTCTTTGTCTATAGCTTTGTCCATCAATTTCAATTATCAGTCCGCGGGAGTCGATTTCAGTCCTACCGTGCTAAGGGGAAACGCCGTATGAGCATTCAGGCGTTGCCATATTTCCTTCTATAAGAAACGAATTTACTGGAAAAATCCTGAACACTTTCCCTTCAATTTTTCAGAGAATTTTGTTTGCAATTTAATCTAAAATACCTGCATATTTTAGGGAAAAATATGCAAGACTTTCTTCAGAAATACACGTTTTATTCAGGGAAATTTGGCAACTCTCGAATGGTCATACGACGTTCATCCTTAGCACGGCAGAGTTCCTAGTATTCTCTGGATGGATGAGTGGACCTTGAGGACATTGGGATGAATGAGGGTGTATCGATGGAGCTAAGATTTTATTTAGAATAATCCGTGGAATATGTATATCGATGGAGTTTCCGACTAGTGCCTACACTCCCGAGCAAAAATGAAAAATTTCATGAAATATTTTTGAAATTTTTCGGGATGCATTCAGAAGGCCAAGAAACGCCTAAAAAGTCAGTGACTCTCGATTTTGACGTTTTTTGCCTCAAGCCTAAAACATTCACGCGTTGCAAATGTTTTTCGTTAGGTTTAGAGGTTAGGTTGGGGCTTTTTTCTCTAAACTTCTCTTTGCACCCCCCTTCGTGCATAGCACCTCGGTAGGGTAATATAATGACGCATCAACACTCAACAGGAAGACCATCTGAAACGTTTCTGAATCTCCGAAGGTCTAATTAGTAATTCCGAAAAAATTAATAAATTTCAAATTTTGTGAAATTTATTCTAGCATTTTGAAATTTCTCGCGAAATTTCACTTTCCATCTCTGCTTACGAGGAAGGTGCGGGGGTCTTTCTGCGGGATTTCCTAAAATTTTGATTTGAAGAAATAATCCATCGTTCGTAGCCTCATTCTGTGTGTTGAACGTTGGATAAGTTGTTTGATGCGACGTCCTTATACCGCAAATTGTGTACTGGTATTTTCTGTCAGATTATAAGTACAAAATTAAAAGAAAGAAATAATAATAATAAAAAAATTAAAAAAGTCAAAATTCTTGACCATAGAGATTACCATCTAAAGTTACAGTTCCATCTTTCCTTATATTTCTTACGTCAGGCAAGAAACAGACCATGGCCACATCCTTGCTCCTCTCGAAGTCCTCGCTTTGTTGCAAACCCGTAGTAAGGACTGTTTGCAGGTTTTCGCAGAATACTCATTGTGTGTGACATCAAAATATTAGAACAGCAACCAAAAAAACATGATTTATCATCCATCTTGACAATAAAAGTTATAAAAAACCATACTCTAATGCCAGGGAACAGTCTGACATCGTAAAGAATCCGTTTATTATATCTATCGACCATGCGAAAGTTCATGCGACAAGATTTATGATCAAGTTGTCATGCGAGTCATGTACGTATGTAAATGAAAATTAAGTAGTGTGAGTGGAATAAGGAAGTTTCGCATCAATCTTCTCAACAAAAAATACTCCTTTGCTCTAGAATTTTTTCTCTTTTCCTGATATTAATTAAAACTAGAGTCCGTAATGAAATTTAATTTTGAAGGAGGGCATCTTATACTTTTCACAAGAGCAGCCTTCCATCACCCGTTTTGGAATGAAAATCATCCGAGAATATCTCGTATAACTTCCTAGGTTCCTTGGTTAACAAAGAAAAATCATAACGAACAAAACAATCCGACATTTAAACTAACCGAGATGTCATCCGAAAGATAAACTCTTCGTTTGAATTATGCGCGGAAAGCGAAACAATGGAAGAATATTCGAAGTTGGGTTAGGACTCAAAATGCAACTATATCAACTTCGCGGTGGGCCGGGTTGCATACACTCGATTTTGCGGGCGATATCTGATTGTAAGATCTGCCAACTGCTTTCGCGCTAGGATACGGGTGCATATAGCGTTTTCCTCGAGCATGACGTCTATTTGGTCAACTATTTGGATGCTCCTGTCGCTTGTCCCACGGATTTGTAACGCGATATTTACGAGCGGAGTTGTTTTTCAAAAGACAAACTCGGCATATGAATAATGCCACGAGCGTAAAACAATGGATGATTATACAAAGTTGGGTTTGACACGGCATACATATATTTTAACCTCGCGGTAGGCCGGGTTGCATACGCTCGAGGAAACCTCTGATCGCACATGTGTCTAAAAACGTGAGCTGTAATGCCGTGATAAGGACAAACGCCGTTTGAACATTCGAGGGTTGCCAAATTTCCCTTGATAAAACATGTTTTTTCGACGACATTCATGCACATTTTTCCTTGAAATTTTCAGATATTTTAGATTAAATTGCGCAAAAAATTGTCCGATCATTTTGGAAGATAATATTCAAAAATTTACCAGTAAATTCGGTTTTTAGTGAAGGAAATCTGGCAGCGTCTAAAGGCTCATACGGCGTATTTCCTTATCCTTAGCATGGCAGTGCACATCGCGAGCGCGCAGGTCGTGGGCATGCAGATCTCAAATTTCGCCCGAAAAACGTAGAGTATGCAACCCGGCCGACCGCGGAGTTAAAATAGTCGCATGTTGGGTCCGAACCCAACTTCGTGTATTCCCATTGTCCCTCGCGTTGTTTTGAGTTGAAATAGCAGTTCGTTATCTATCGCGGTAAGAAAAAGGCTCTGAATTTATCGAAATGCTAACTATAAACATTCTTATTGTTAGTTCATTCACCTGAACCACGAACTGATAAATGTGCACGTGGCATAATGCAAGGTTATCCGTGATTAATTTCATCAGTGCGGACGCGTTTATAGTAGGAGGGGGCGCTCCCTCTCTCGGGAAATGCGATGAGGGGATTCGGGTGCACCGAGAATCGAGCTCGACTCCACACTGAGAAAAAATTATGGTTATAATTACCATATTAGTGGTGTTCAATATGAACTCTTAATTAGTAGTTGCCATAACCAACAATAGAGATATTTTTACCATTAAATGGTAATTTTACTACCGCTCACTTGGAATATTACTATTGCTGCAGTAAAAATATCACTATTATTGGTTATGACCACTACTAATTAAGAGTGCATATTGAACACCACTAATATGGTAATTATAACCATAGTTTTTTCTCAGTGCAAACACGACTTGAAAAAGTCGTTAATCCCGCCGGCCTTTGAGAGTTGCCGAATGTGACAGGTCTTGTCCGGTGCTTGCACGCTTATTCTTGCAATTGCGTGTCAACACTTAATTGCGCTAAGTTTAATTTTCCACAATTTTTCGGGCTGTAATCAAAAATTTAAATAGAGGGCTTCGTGATGTACACAAATCCATGTTGAGTAGCGTCAGCTACTCAAAACTATGGCGTTACTATTGTAGTCAAAAGAGGGCTCACAATTTTAGAACTGGGATTTTAATGTTGGAAGGAAACATTCCAAGATACACTGAGATAGTAAGTATCCAGTCTTGTATGAATGCAGCTCTGTAGCTTGACGTGTTTTGCGATAGATCGATTGCTCTACCATTCAAACCTATGGAAAAGGATCCATAAACAGGGTGTTCGCAGCGATCACCTTAATAATCGATGGTTTACCTCAGCTTCACGGCAAGCTGCACACTCAAATTCACGCCAGGCATCAGTGGCGTGGCTTGAATTGCTATATATCGATTGTTATGCCGTTTAAATCTATGGAGAAGGATCGATAAAGAGGGTGTTCGCAACGAACACCTAGGTTAATAATCGATTCTTTACCATAGGTTTAAATTACATAACAATCGATGTATCGCAATTCACGCCACGTAACTGCATGAGAGGACTCGGGAGAGGACCGCGGAACCGCGGGGACAAGAAGATTTGAGTTGAGGTAGGCCAAGGAACGGGAAATGACGTGCGGCGGCGTGTCATGTGGCGACTCGGTTGCGTTTGGCTGTTCTGCGTGGCCCGTGGGGCGCGCGCGCNGGGGGGGGGGGGGGGAGGGCGGCCCGCTGATTCGCTAACTAGAGATTTCGCGAACTTGTAATGCACATCCATGTAAAATCGCCCCGATGTGGGTCAAGTCGGTGCGACCGTCGAGTGCTTTGCCTCATGCCGCACAGTGGAGCGAGCTAACCGGAGACAAGAGACCCTCCACTCGTGTCTCGGCTATTGTGGAAGCATTTACCTTCGGGACTTACACGATGGAGATGTTGCATGTGTGAGGGATTTGCGATTTGACTGTTGTTTCTTTTGTAAAAGTTCGCGAGAAACACGATGGTGCCACCGGTTTTCTCTGAATTCAACTCCCAAGCTCAAAAAAAGCTCTCAAGTTGAGGCCAAAATGGAGGGGATATCCCGCCCTACCCTGAGAGTCCACGTCTACATCAAGACAAACTCTCCATGCATGCTGTCATTTCGATACGTTTCACTGCTGCAACGAAATGCGTCAACTTGAGGCAAAACTCTACAACAAACGAAAATAGACTCGTGGATTCTGTCGAAATGGAGATGTTGCATGTTTGAGGGATTTGCGATTTGACTGTTGTTTCTTTTGTAAAAGTTCGCGAGAAACACGATGGTGCCAC